TTGCAGGAATTTATGACAAAGAGTGGTCATTGTGTGCATGTGACAATATCACAAATGCTCCAAGAATGTGGCTTGTATGGGAGGGTTGCAAAAAAAAAGAAAGTCACTCCTCAAGAAAGGCCATATGCAGTCATGACTGAGCTTTGCCAAAACACACCTTGAAGATTCTGAGGGAGATGAGACTAAAATTTAATTATTTGGCCTCAACACCAAACGATATGTCTGGCGGAAATCCAATAAAGCGCATCATCCAAATAACAGCATTCCTCCAGTAAAGCATGGAGGAGGTAATATCCTGTTATGGGGGTGTTTCTCTGCAGCAGGGACTGGAGCACTTGTCAGGATAGAAGGAAAAATGGATGGGGCAAAATACCATCAAATTCTTGAGGAAAATCTGCTGCCCTCCGCCAGAAACTTGTCAATGGGAAGAAGGTTTACCTTCCAACATGACAATTACCCAAAGCACACAGCAAAACTTGGTTGAAGGAGAAAAAGGTGAATGTCCTTGCATGGCCTAGTCCGAGCCCAGACTTAAACCCCACTGAACATCCACAAACACTCACCATCAAATTGAATTGAACTTGAGCAGTTCTGCAAAGAAGAGTGGACAAATATCCCAAAGTCTAGATGTGCAAAGTTAGTAGAGACAAATCCCAACAGAATAAAGGCTGTAATTAAAGCAAAAGTGATTCAACAAAATACTGACACAAGGGGGTGATCCTTTTTCCAACTCTGTTATTCTGTTTTATTTATTTATTTATTTTTTCTGACATGTTGGTGTTATATCTTACACTTGGATGTTATAAGTTGCACTTAGTAAATACAGCTGGATAAAACAAAAACTTTCATTTCAGGCTGCAAAGCAACAAAATGTGATTATTTTAAAGGGAGGTGATTATTTTCTATCCCACTGTAACTAGTTAGCCAGCTAGATAACTTTATTATCATGACTAGGATTACCACTGTCATGGAAATCCTGTATATCAGGATCCTGGCATTTTAAATGTTTTCCAAATGCCTAGAAAAGTAATTTTATGTACAAATGTATGGATCTCAATGAATATCAGTTTTCTTTTTCAAGCTACTGTTATGTTTGATTTCTGATTAAATTGTTCTTTTCGATTTGAGTCGATTCATTGCAGTGTCAAACTGGTTCACAAAATGAACAGAACGTTCTAAATGAATTATTTAAAAACTTATTCAAAAAGAGGGAGAAGAAAATAGAAGCATAAAAAGCATAATTCCTAAAAATAAGCATAATTTATATCAACAGTGTTTAATACATGACACACACACAAAAACATGTTTAAGTTTGCAACTCATAAAACATGTATATGATCAAAAGACACCACTTAATTAACTAGCAATACTAAAATACTACAATACTATAGATTTATAAACACAGTACAATAATATATAATAGAATACATTTTATGTATATTATACTCGGAACATTAAAGTTTTCTGTTATCTGCATTAAAGTAATTTTGTTCATATTTTAGGGCTAAGAATAAAAATTATTCCTGAACTTTATATTTCATGTATAATGACAATACTGAATGAAAGTAATGTTTCTTTTTATCTTTTGTGTCAATGAAAAACTATTGCATTTAATACGGTTTTCTTGCAAGACCATTAGGGGGCACTGTTGTATCAAACATGTTATTTGTGAAATTGCAGGGGCATGAATGGCTTCTTTGTGTGTAAGTTTAATTCTGTAGTTAGTCTATCATCACACTTTTTATCATAATCCAGTGTTACCAGTGCCAGGATGTGATTCATGGAGTTTAGCTGACGGTTAATGTGCCCTGAGTGGCCAAGTATTAGTGTGATCCTGTACACTGTCGTGAATAATAGTGTTATAATGGACAATAAGTATCAGTTCATGCGTCTGCATGAGTTTTGTGCCTGTGTATTTCAGGTCGATGCTCTGCGTTTACGTCTGGAGGAGAAGGAGGCTACGCTTAATAAAAAGAGCAAGCAGATTCAGGAAATGTCAGAGGAGAAGGGCACACTGAATGGAGAAATTCACGACCTCAAAGACATGCTTGACGTCAAGGAACGCAAGGTCAACGTGCTGCAGAAGAAGGTAAATGACAGTTTGCACACCAACATTGTAGCAAAATTGTTTGTTACTTTGATGGTTTCATTCTCTCAGTAGGAAATAAAACATTGTGATCAAAACAAACTTTTGCAAGCAGTTGAGAACCATTGCAGCAGAGTATGCATTCATAAACATCGACGCACCCTTCATACGGGTGTCATTTCTTCCTCCTTAACGTAGAGGGCACTGTTAGGCCACGTTTGATGAGCTCTGGTGAAATGCACGAAACCAGCCTCACCAAATATCCCTTTGTGTAAATTTATGATTTCTAAAAGTAGGGAAAAGTTGTGTTTGTGATGGCGATGGAGTCTCCTGTTCTCAGAAATGACACACACAGGCCATTAACCTCAGGCTAACAGCGGGCGCCAAGGTTTATACGTCTGTTCTGCATCTTTCATATCCATGAAACAGCTGTTTGCTACTGCCTCGAACCCACGTCGAATATACAAGAAGTCGTAGTTTTTGCCGTTCCCGCCGACATCGCTTTTCATCGTCAATATATCGGGTGCAGCTTTGAACTTAATTTCACAATATACAGACTTTGACAGAAATCGGCACACAAACGGTCAAAATGTTTCAAGCTCGTGGTGCCGTACTCTTTGAGTTTGTCAGAGGATGTTTCCATAGTGACTGGCCATGGCTGGTCATCCCATGAGGCAATGCTTCAGCGGTCACATCCGACTATCAGTTTCAGTTCTTCTGCGCTGAGATCACAGGCTGTGCAAACAAGCCCCCCATCCGCAGCCTCATTAATCTTGACTTAGGGATAGTCTGAGTGCACAGAACCCACTGTGAGCTCACCTTTATTTGGAAAACAGGAAGTTGTGCATCTGTCTAATGGACATTCCAGGGATAATGTTGCAAATAATGCTCCTAAGATCGCTGTAACTTGTCATATATTATTTTACGACTAAGTTTCCCAAAAAAGCACATGGATCATTAGCTATAAAGTAGAACTCAAGTATGTTTGCTTGAATGGCTAAAAGCTGTACCTCTTTGAAATTCACTCATAGTTTACAGAATTGGCTGTTGACTGATAATCGTTACCCTGGTAGACCTTTTTAAGGTTGTAAATTGTGTGTTTTTTTCTAATACAGACTTTAGGATATTGCTCCAAAGTCAAATGCTTTTTTTTCTGGTTTTTATTCATAATATCATTTTATATTCATAATATAATGTCTAAATTTGTGAAAATCCTTAGTATTTTTAATATAGTTAAAATTATTAATATTTAATTTATATTTATATATACATACAATATTTAGTTTTTTTGTATAAATATTTTTGTATACTTCCATGTTTTATTAAAGTGAATTATGTTAAAAATAAGAGAGCTCTATATAGTCATAAATAGTTCTAGTGATAAAACTTGCGTACTTGCTGTTTACCCTGGAAGACCTTTAAAGGTTGTATATAACTTTCTTTTCCTAAAACAGACTTTGAGACAACTTCAATGTCAAATTTGCAGTTTTCTTTTTTAAATAGTTATATTCATGATTTAAGGTGTACATTTTTGAAAATGATTTATATTTTTTAAAAATATTATATATATATATATATATCTAGATATGCATGCATGCATACACACACGCACACTTACGTACTTGCTGTTTTGGGGGAAAAAACCTGATTTTATTTAAGAGTGTCTCAAATATAAAGACATGACTCTTTCTTATCATTGTCTTATCTTTTTGTTATTGGTTGTGTTTTTTGGCTATTTTCTTTCTCTGTTTGTCTCGACCGCTTTGCTTCTCTTCACAGTTTGAGTCTGTAAGCCTCTCAGAGTCATCAGGAGTGCGATGCTCTCTCAATTCACAGAAAGAGAAACATTTAGTTTCCATTATAGTGCTTGAGCCGCTCTACATTGCCCCAGAGTTGTTCCTAATGGCTATAACATATTGAGACAGTGCTATGAAGGTATGCATGGGGCTGCTCAGCAAGACACCATTCAACGCACAGGTCAAACACGAGAAAACGAGAAACCGTACATAGCAAGCAGGATTATATCCAGTGAGGAAACACTAGCTCATGTGTCATTTTGAATTTTTAAAAGCCTTCTGTACTTCTTTCAATGGACATATCATGAGGAGTTAAAGGGATAGTTCACCCAAAAATGTTTAATTCTGTCATCATTTGCTCACCCTCATGCTGTTCCAAACCTGTAAGAATTTCTTTTTTTCTGTTGAAGTTTTTTTCCCTTTTTTCTGAAGAAGATATTTTAAAGAATGTTGGTGACCAAATACTTGACGGTAGCTATTGACTTCCATAGTGTTTTATGGAAGTCAGTGGCTACCAGCAATTGTTTGGTTACCAACATTCTTCAAAATATATTTGTGTTCAGCAGAAAAAAGAAACTTTGGAACAACATGAGGGTGAGAAAATGACACAACTTTCAGTTTTGGGTGAACTCTCTCTTTAACATTTAAGACTAAACTTCCTCCCTCAGTTCTCCCAGACTGTTTATGGAAATGTAGAAACTAGGTGATTCAGAAATAATCATGATTTTGGCATACATAAGAATGAAAATTCGTTAATGAGAAACTTGACCCGCCCTGATGAATTTTTTTGTGTGCAATGCTTAAGATGTTAGCCAATCATAGCAGAGCTCATTGGCATGTAGAATTCTGCAAGATAAATGCTGCATCAAATGTTTCTCGCCGCCTCTATAGTGAAGTATGCAATTTCGGATGCAGCCAAAGTAGCAAAGACTGCCTGTTTCATTCCGAGGGTCAGTGAGAGTGGAAATTATAATGTAAAAAACAGTTTTTGATGTTAAAAACATTACAAGCAGGCTTTAGAAAAATAAAATGCTTCAGAAGTGTAGAATATGGCCTCTAAATAAGCCACACGGTTTAGTTTTTTTTCAAACAACATGTAGCGCTGTTACATTTGCATGTACGAAAATGAGCTTTCCTAGACTGTGCATGTCTGTGTATATAAGTGAGTAAATGAATAGATACACAGTGTCCTGTGAAGTATGCATTCATTCTCAGGGGAGGCCTAGTTTGGGCTCGTTTCTTTTTTCTCGCATTCTCCTTTAAAGGGATAGTTCACCTTCAGTTGCTGGTCCCCATTGACTTCCATAGTATGGAAAAAAGCCACTATGCAAGTCAACTGAAGGTGAACTATCCCTTTAATGTCTGAACATTATTTTTTTCTCCCGCTTGGAGCTGTTTGGCTTTGTGATTGTTTTCCCAGCGGCTGCTGGCTGTTGCTTTTCCTCTCTGCCTTCTCAGTGGCACCGTTTGCCTGCGTGGATGTGAGCGAGTGCGTGCCGAACAGAGCAAAACACCTCCTCCAGCAGCAGCCGAGAGATTCGGCCTGCTCTTTTCCTTCTTTGTTTATATTCAGTGTTTTGTGTTTAACTTAACACTTACCCTTTAACAGCCTGGAAAATAACGATAATTTAATTGGCAACTGTCAGATAAGGTTGCAGACAGATCCGCAGTGGAAGCGGCTGAACTAAGTATTGAAAACAGCGGTTTGGATAGGAATTCTTTCACAAGTTCACTGCAGGACAGGCTGCAGAAAATAACATTTGTTAATGCGAGGAGGGAGGAATACAAGACACAATTCAGCAGAACTCGCTCAAGTATGTAAACTCGCGTCGAACGTCTTGATGGAGAGCAGCTCTCTTTGGCATGAGAGGGTTGTCAGAGACACTTTGTCTTATGGATGAACATGGGCGGCGCTAGGGTTGGTTTTTTCCCCCTTTTTTCCCACAAAGTTTATCCAATTAGGGTTGCAGTTAATAAAAAATAGGCTGTCTGCGTCTTAATTTGAAACGAAATGTTTAAATTATAGCACATGAATTCTGTTCTTCAGACGACACCAAAGAAATTAAACCTGTTTGTTGACTTTGCGGTCAGAGTTTCGCTCCATCCAGATGTAATAAACACCCAATATTGAGCGTTGCTCAAGAAATTTGTCTGCAAACTTTAGAAACATAATCCAGGACATTGAGGTTCTTGCAAAACTTTCATATTGAGACACAATTTCATGAACCTCATGAACTTTCAGCAAATCCAGCAACTATATTTTTCTTAGAAGTAACAGCCTGCTAACTTCTGAACAAACTTGACACTTTGACGACATATAACTGTCGTCAAAGTACAATGTGCATTGGACTACACTGCCGTTCAAAAGTATGGGGTCAGTATGATTTTATGTTTTGAAAGAAATTAATACTTTTATTCAGCAAGGACACATTAAAGTGATCTAAAGTGACTGTTAAAGACATTTATGATATTATAAAAGATTTCTGTTTGAAATAAATCCTGTTATTTTGAACCTGCTATTCATCAAAGAATCCTAAAAAAAAATGTATCGCGGTTTCCACAAAAATATTAAGCAAACGGTTTTCAACATTGATGATAATAAGAAATGTTTCTTGAGCATCAAATCAACATGTTAGAATGATTTCTGAAAGATCACTTGACACTGAAGACTAAAGTAATGGCTGCTGAAAATTCAAAATATTAAACTAAAAATATATCAAAATACAAAACAGTTATGGTAAAGTGTACATTTTAAATGTGACATTTTAAAACATTTACTGTATTTTTGTTCACAAATGCATTCTTGGTGAACATAAGAGACTTGTTCCAGAAACATCTTACTAACCCTAAACTTTTGAAAGGTAATGTACAGCAAGCTAAAAGGGTCATCATTGTTGTTTTATTTTAACAACAGTGATTTAAAATCCATACAGCGGTTTACGATCGGCTGAAACCAAGTTTAGTGGGACATTTTTAGTTTTCGCGCCAGTAGAATTGAGGGTTTTACTTCATTAACAATGACTCACTGCACATGTAACGTTTCAACATATATTTTGAAGTGTATTATATTCCCGTATTTCATCGAAGGATGTCCCCATGCGCATTCACAGAGGGTTTAGGCTAAACCCTGAACATTCACTGACCCCACAACCGCCCCCATGGATGAAGAGCTTCCAATTTGCTACACTTTTAAAGGCTGGTTCAGAA